AATAGTCTATCAAAAACTCTTTTCCACCTGTCATACACTCATACCTCTTTCAAAACAAATGGAATCATAGCCCTCTTGATGAGCCTGCTTTGTACGTCTAGCAAGCAACAGCAATTTAATTATAGCTCTTACATCCAAGTGAGCCCAATTCATATGGCTGACAAGAAAAGGCAGTTTAATCATACATCTTATGTCCAAGTGAGACTATCCATATGCCTGGAAAGCAAAGGCATCCCAGGGCCCACAGGTCCACAAGCGGGGTCAATACAGACTTATTATAGCTCACAGCTTTACACACTTCTGATTGACAAGATGCATCTACAGAATCCTAGTTGGCCTGATTATAAGTTTTGTAAAAGTCCTACACTCTCCTACTCTAGTTTGATACATGAAAACTTCATCTAATTCATGGCCTTAAAACAGGATTCCTCGACTAGGCGACTAGCCCTTCAAATTTTTCAAGAACATATAGTCTTGGCTGATTTTTTCACTCATTTCTAATTGATATCCCATATTTTTTACCCTGTTCTAAACAAAATTAATAGTCAAAACCCAAATCGATTAAATTTTCCGGGGATTACGAGCTAAATTGCCATTGCTCAGCAATGCAATGCTTCAAAAAAATATCAGCAAGACAACATTCAAAAATCGCAATTGAAATTTAACAAATTACACACAAAAACAACACAATCAACAACATCAAAAAAACCAACTAATCAAAAAATAACAAAATAAAGGAATAAAGGAATTACCAAAGAACCAAAAAGTTAGAATAACGATAACGCAAGACAAAGTATCATCACCAGGCGGGTCCTCCATCGCCGGCGACGACAACCGACGCTGAACAGGCCGAACACGATACGACATACTCGATTGCTGCCGAATAAGCTCCGGCGAGGACTCCACTTCTCTCTCCTCATCGGAAAAAACTTCCGGCAACCTCGTCGGAAATCCGGACGACGTCGCCGAGGAAGTCGACGGACCTTCGCCCGCCGACGGAGGCGGAGACAACGAGGACGAGGATGTCGCCGCCATTAAAGGGAGTAAATTATAAACCCTAGGAGAGAGAAAATTGGAAGAAAAGGGGGGGAGATTTAAGAGGAAATGGAAGAAGAAAGAAGAAGACTTTTTGCGTGTTGGTGGGAAGTTCTTCGGTGGTCTTCTATTGAGATTGGGATGAGAAAAGGAGGAGTGGTAATTGATGTCAATGTCAACTAATAAGGCGGCAGGTAATTGGATAATTTAATTATCATTATGATATTTTTAATGCTATTTTTATGGAATTATTATATGGTTAATGTTATACATAGTCTTTAGGGCTACATATAAGCATTAAATTTACATTTGAAATCGTAAAAAGTTAAGAAATCATGAAAATATAAACATTAATTACACTGATTTACGCGTGTTTTTATCATGAATTCCTAATTTTATTCAATTTTCAAGAGTATATTTAATGCTTATATATAGCCCTAAGGGCTACATATAGCATTACCCTTATTATATTGATATTTTTATGTAATTCAACTCTGTCATTATTCATTGATTTTTTATTTTCCGAAGAAATAATTTAAGAAAAAATATCTACAAATGTGTTGTTATGAATGAGTTAAGTATAATGTTGGGTACTAACATTTTAATTTTTTCACCTTTTGGGTACTCCCACTTTTTTTTCGCCTTTTGGGTACTCTAATTAAGTTTTCGGCTAATTAACTCAACATAAACTCACCGGAAAAAAGTCAGTCCCCTCATTCAATTATTTGGCAAAAAAAGTTAGTCCCCTCCTTGAAAAACGTTTCAAATAAGTGAGTACCTTGATTAATTTAAGCATATAAAAGTATTCCAAATATTTTAAACAAAAATACTAAATTCCCAAAAATTGATGAGGCTGCTTCATATATTCAACTAGCCGTTGAATTTTAAAATAAAAACAAAAAATTCATATTAGCTGCCACATGAAGCCATCAGAAAGCCTTCATTTCTTCAAAATTGTTCTTCAGTCTCTGCAAGGAAATTCCTATTGTTATTGTTGTAATGTATATGTGCAATTGAATTAGTGATTGTTAAGAAAAAAAAAAAACCTGGTTAGAACATGCGCACTGTTGTAGTAGTTGATCCTTAGTTGGATTGTGGCTGACTTGGCTGTGATGTATGAATTGGCTGCAACAATTATCAATAAAAGCTTAATTATTTAGTTGATCAATGGTTGTTGTTTGTAGTTACAGTAAATACAAATGGGGGGTTTTAGCTTACCATTGCAGGTCTAGTATACCCTCTCGTGGCCAAATTCAGCCTCTAAATACGATTTTCGAGCAGTTTTTGATTTTTAACGAAGTTTTTTTTTATTATGCTTAAAATTTTATCTTTGAGTTTAAAAGGGGTAAGAGATAATTTAATGTTTCTATGGATAATCATATAACTAATATATAAAGCTAAACTTTTAGCCAGGTCACGAGGCTGCGACACTTGTCGTTCTAACTTTTTGCCACGTGTCGCGCCACGTTGAATAGATTTAAATAGACCTTATAAGATAAATAAAAAAAAGTTAATTTAGAATTATATTTTGATAGAATTATAGGATAAAATTAGTTTAATATATGAAGCTAAACTTTTAGCCAGGTGACGAGACAGCGACACTTGGCGTTCCAACTTTTTGCCAAGTGTCGCGCCACGATGGATAGATTTAAATAGACCTCATAAGATAAAAAAAAGTTAATTTAGAATTCTATTTGGATATAATTTTAGGATAAAATTAGTTTTATTTTCAATAAAATACCAATATTTCAAATGTACAAATTCAATTATAATTTTATTAAAAAAATTATTAGATTATAATTCTTAAAAATTAATAAATTATTTTTTGTATCATAATATTTTTTAGGCAAAGGAAATAGTTCAAAGCGTAAAACATACATTTATAATATATACTAATCGGTTAGAATAATATACTTCACAATCTAGCAAATCGTATAAAGATTAAAAATTTATTTTATAATTCAATAAACAACCCGGGCATCGCACGGGGCACAAAACTAGTTTAAGTATAAAGATGTATTTTGATGAAGTTTTAAAGGATTTTTTGATTAGTTTAAAATGTTAGAATTTTATTTAAAGTAGTATGATTGTGATTTAGAATAAAAGGGTGTGAGTATCCATTAAAAAGGAGTTTAATTAGGGGTTTTTAAATAATTTTCAGATTATTATAAATTATTTAAAGTGAGTTTAAGTTGCTGAAAATTGTGTATACAAGGGTAATTAATATAATATTATTGTCCCTTTATGTAGGAGACTTGGTTCGGGAATTGTTGTAGTGTAATCGGCTACTTTAAGGGCTTATTTGAGGTACGTACGCGTACTTAGCATATTTTGATGATGTAGAATCATGTTAGGTTTGATTTCAATCAATGACAAGTAGTATCATGCTAAGGTTTATGTATGTAATTGAGAATTTATGGTGGTTGTGATTGAATTGTGAAGCATGAATTATTTGTGATGGTTATGGATTTGGAAAATTATACTTTGGGCATGTTGTGTTTGAACCACATTTTTATTTATGGCATGTTAGAAGGCATGATTAATTAAACTACATGTTTAATTATGTTTGGAATATTGAAAGGGAATTTTATTATGGTTCAAATAATTTTTATTGATGCTTTAAGCATGAGGAAGGAGCTATATAAGTGTCTATGTACACAAGGAATAAATAGTGTGTTGGTGCCTTTGTGCACTTAAGGTGTTTTTAACACCGAGGGATAGGATTTTTGGCGCATTATGCGTTTAAGGTGTCTTTGACACTGAGGTAGAATTAAAAAGGGTTCAACAATAAATAATATGTGGTCACTAATTATTCAAGAATTAAATTGGTATGTTTGTTTGATTGTATAATTATTGTTGATTGACTTATTATGCTTTGAGAGTCATCAACAAGTCTAATAATCTGTAAATAACGTAAAGTGAAAGAGATTACGCACCAAAACTCTTGGAACGTATATACCTTGAGTATGAACAATGGGGGGAGTTATGGGGTTTTATATTTAACCATAACTTCCAATGGAGTACAGGACGCTGTATATTCCTTTTTTTATTATTTATTATTATGCGCAGGGATTCCGCCACCTTTGTGTGGTTTTGTCGCTGGTACAGTTAGCTCCCGTGCCAGTTAACCTCAAATTTATTTGGGGGAGGTTAATAGGTGGAAACCCGTTCGATACGTAATCAATGTAAAATGAATTAATTAGTGTCTAGTCATTGTGTCTTGTTGATTGGTGTGTATGCTTGTGAACAGGTGCAATGAGGTAAGTGTTTGTTGATAGGTGAAAGCATGTTAGTGTGGCTAATTTACGCTTACGTACTCAGCTTTGCTGATTGTGTGTGTGTTTGTGTATTTGGCCATGTCTTTACCTTGGCCCTATGATGACCCATTTCTAATGGAGAGTAGTGGAAACAAGTAGAGATAAACTTTTCAGGTATTGAAGCATGATCATGATGGGGCATGAGTGAAGAGTGAATCTTACTAGTTTTCATTAGGTTACAAGGTGTTTTATGCTTTATTTATTTATGACATATTTTATGTGGACTAACACAAAAGTTTGGTTTTGGAACGGTTTTTGAATAAGGGCCTTTAATGGTTCCAAGTTGTAGTTTGATTTTATTTAACTTTGTTTGTTTGGTTTTAAACTTTATTTTCGTTTGGTTGACTTTTAAGTTGACTTGCTTAATCGGTTTTTAATTTTGAGTCTTCCGCTGTGTATCTTTGATAATTGCCTTAGCCGTTTTCACGGTGGCGGTAATGTCTTAGTTATTCCTAAATCGTGTTTTTAAAGGGTAGAATGGGTATTTAAAAGAAAGGAATTTCTAGGGTGTTACACCCGATAACCGTTCCGAAAATCCGGGTACCCGAACTTATCGGTTCGGGTTATGGATATCACTTTTGGTGCTACAATTGGTGCATAAGGTGATTCAGGCCATTGTTGAGGACCATTCAATGGCTCTAAAGGGTACTAATATGCCTTTAGATAGGTCTCTTTGCTGAACCACTCAGACACATAGTGCTCAGGATGCTCCACTGCCTTCCATATAGCTGCCACAACATGATGGCATGGCACACCACTTAGTTGCCATGCATTGCAGCTACAAGTTTTGTCTAATAAGATAACAACATATCTTGTTTGTGTAGCTCCCTCTCTCACTCCATAACAGTAATGCCCATCCCAAAATGCAGACCAACCCCTAGCATTGATTTTTGATTTCTCTAACCTTGTTTGGATTCTAGGGCAAATATTGATCTCTTTTTTGGCAATGAAATCCCTTTTTTTGTGCAGCCTCTCCATCAAGCTTTCCCTTATGTCCTCCAGCATGGTTATAATAGGCTTATGCCTACTAGACAGAATGTAAGCATTGAAAACTTCATTCATGTTGTTATCAATGGTTTCACAAGTGGACTGGGGTGTGAAGAATGCCCTCACCCATTTCATGTAATTTCTCTTGAGCAAGTCTAGCCCTGCAGCAGCTGAAATCTTACTAAACTCTTCCATATTCCTGTTGAATATGTTCTCTGTTGTTGACTTAGCTATTCTCCAAAAGCCTAGTCTGTACTGCAAACTCCCTCCAAAAACTTGTCTGAAATTACAGTTGGCATGTCTAGCATAGACTCTTGTCTTAGCAGAAGGCCAAATATCAAACACAGCCTTGAGTAATCCCTTTTGTTGATCATACATAATGGTGTAGCCTCCACCATCTACAGTACCCAAATCATCAGCTAATAATTGCAGAAACCAGGTTCATGTGTCAGTGTTCTCAACCTCCACACAAGCCCAAGCCACTAGAAACATTTGGTTGTTTCCATCCCTCCCCACTGCCACCAGTAGCTGCCCACCAAATGGACCTTTCAAGAAACATCCATCCAACCCAAAAAATGGTCTACACCCAGCGAGAAACCCTTTTTTAAGGCAGAGAAGCAGACATAAACCCTCTCAAATACATTGTTGTTCAATTTGAATTTGATTGTATTATCAGGGTTTGACCTAAGTATCTATTGGGCATATCTATGTAACAATGAGTATTGCTCCCTATATTCACCCAATATTAGCTTCTGTGCTAATCTCCTGGCCTTGAGAGCCATCCACAACGAGATTTTGATACCCCATTCAGTCCAAACAGTATTAACTATTTCTTGACACTTCAGGTATGGGTTGACATTGAACTTAGGATGATACTGTTTAGCAATCCATGATGCTCTGATCTTCCTAACTTTAGCTAACCTACCACAATTATGTTGTGAGAAGTGTGTTTTGACAGTCATTGTTCCTTTCCCTCCCTGAAGAGATGCCCACAAATACCATTGACAATCTTTGCCTTTACACTTAGCACCTATCCTGTTCTTGGCATTTCTTGTGTAATGAACATCTCTCCCTATACTCACACAGTAAGAAGTGATTGCTGACCTCAGTGCCACAACATCTTCAAATTCCTGTCCAAGATAAAATGGTGATTGCACCTCTACCCTTCCCCTTATTGGTTTATTTAAGTTGAACTTTGGTTTAACTGTTTTAGTCTTCAAAGGTTGAGGCAGGAGGTAACCACAGTCTTCCTCATTGTCAGATTGGGGGGTGAATATAGGTCAGAACTTGAATCATCACCATCTTCACTACTTACCTCTATGTTCCCCTCCCCTGACCTACATGCAAGTCTATTAAGGGACTCTACTTCTTGAGTGAACTAGAACTCATTCTGTGCATCCACCTAAAGTTTCTCCCTAGCCTCCTTCAGTTCAACATCATCATTATCACTCCCCTCCTCATCATAGTCTATGTCATCTTCTAAATTGACAGTGGCACCATCAAAGTTGTAACCACTAGTGTCAAAGTTATTCTGTCCTAGTTCCACTACTCCTATAGGCTCATGTAATGCATCAGAATCACTTCTAGACCCACATCCCATACCACCTGACCCAATGTTAAAACCTTGTACAGTACTGTTTAGGGTAATTTTACCCTGCCACGTGGCCCAATCAGAAGGTGACACATGTCAGCCCCAGATTGGTCCAAAATGGACCAATCCCTGCTCGACACGTGTCATTCCAGAAATCAAGGGAAAAGGCGGCCTTCAGGCCCAAATCCCGAGAGTGCCGCAAAACGGCGCAGCCCACCAATGATTAGGGTTCAGTGACCTAATCAGGGGCACAATTCCCAAAGACCTTATAAATAGGGAGATGTCCCTCATTTTGAGGGCACGTTTTACCATTTAATACACCTGCATTCTCTTACATCAGAGAAACACCTGAGCTTGGAATCCGAGCAGATACCCACCTAAATTTCCGTACTCTTTATTCCTTTTCAAGTTACTAACTTGACCGTTGGAGGCGGAGCTCCAACCACCCGGAGTCTCCGTCATTTTGCAGGTGCAGCTCAAGCAGGACCAGTCTTCATGACGTAACTCTCCCGAGGGACAAAAACACCCAAAACATTTGGCGCCGTCTGTGGGGAGAGTACCTCGAAGATGGTTCAAGAATCTGTACCCGCTAACCGTCTGGGCGAAGACCCAGAAGTCTTTACAGACCATGAGGAGGACGAGGACCCTCAGGTCGAAACCTCCACAGCCGAGGACGGCTCACTCAGAGTCAAGCGCACCCGGCCCAGAGAGACTCTAGAGCGGGGCGCCTCCCAGGCGGGTCCTAGCAGACCCACGGGGCAGCCGGAAGGGGCAACCCAAACGGCAACTGGATCAGCCCCTGTCACCCGAGACGAACTCACGAGGTTCATGACGAGTTTCAAGGGTGAAATTACAGAGCTGATCACCAAAAGTCGGGCTGGCCGAAGTAAAGGTCAGTCGGCGAAGAAAACTCCTCCAGAGAAGGGGAAGTCAGTCAGAAACCAGCAGCCCACTCCTCATCCAAAGGAGAAGGCAGCCGGGACCATTGATTGGTCGAAAATTCTCCTTCCTGGGAGGAACACAAATAACACTCGCTGGACCCAACAACCGGTGAGAAGTAAAAAATAAACTCTTGATGCCCGGGAGATTATTAACCGGAAGAGAAACCAATCGCTGTCTGAGTCGGCTTCAACGCCGAATTTTCCAGACAGCTTCAACAACATTTCTGCAGGGAGTGCACCCTCCTTGCATGAGAGTTAAATAGGCGGTAATACCGTCCATTCTAGCCCTCATATGATTGGAGCTATCCCGTATGTGCCTACTCAGGCTTACGGGCAGTATCTTCCTCACTTCATGCAGCCGGCCTTCTTTGGGGGTCAGGCGGCATACCCAAATATCCAGCCACTGGACTGGCAGCTTCGTCTGCTGCGCCTGGGTGAACAACCTTCTGCGTTCACTCGGGAGATAACCGAGGTGGCTCAGCCGGCCAAGGTTAAGAACGTGTTGGTTGGTACCTATGATGGTACCACCAATCCGGAAGATCACCTCATGGCTTACACCAACCTCATGTACTTGCAGGGGTTGGATGATGCCACTTGGTGTCGATGTTTCCCGGCTACATCGAAGGGCATTTCCCAACAATGGTTTGGCAATTTGCCAGCCGGGTCCATCGATAGCTTCAAGAAGCTCGCCTTCCTGTTTGCTTCTAACTTCTCAATGAACATCCCTGCTAAGAAAACGAGCCTTGATTTGAGCACTGTTAAGCAGGGAGAGAGAGAAGGGATGCGCTCATATGTCAGGCGGTTCAATCTAATAAGAATTCAGATTCAAGGACTGTCTGACGAGGTAGCTTTTACAGACTTTTTCAAGGGTCTGAGAGACGGGTCGACTTTTAAGTTCGACCTCGTCAGAAAAGGGGCTTTCACCTTACAGGCGCCCCTGAGGGAGGCGGAAAGCTACATTCAAGCTACCGACCTCTACTCGCCTGGTAGCCAGTCGGACTCTAAGAAGTCCGACAAACAGAAAGACAGCCGGTCAGCTCAGCCGACCAAAAACAAAGAAGAGAGCAAGAAAAGAAAAGAAGTCTAGGCGGTTACTGACTCTGACCAGCCGTCCCAGAAGAAAAAGAAAGAATTTAAACCGTACGTTCCCAAGTACGAGTTTAATAAAGACTGCAACTCCATCCTCCTGGAGGTAAAGGACCGGCTGTCCATTGAGAAGCCGAATCCTATGAAGAGTTCCGTCCAGTCACGGAACAAAAATAAATTCTGTCAGTTCCATGAGGAGGTTGGCCATGACACCAACGACTGCTTCAGTCTTCAGCGGGCGTTGGACCGTCTGGCTGACAAAGGGTTGCTGAAGTCCTACATTTCTAAGTCCCCAGCCGGGGCAAAAAAGAAAAACAAGGGTCAGTCCTCCAAGACTACCCCCCAGCTTGCTAGTAGCTCGGATACCGACAAGGAGCCGGTCTACACTATAGCAGGAGGGTTCTCCTAAGGTGGCCCTACCATCAGGGGCACCAAGAGCCATCTTCGAAAGATGGACAAATATGATGGTGAGCAGGCGGAAGCCAGCTCCTCCTTCCCATACGTCTTGATTACTGAGAAGGACAGGGGCAGCGTCCGCCGCCCGCATGATGACCCGGTGGTCATTGAATGTAAGGTTGCCAACCAGCTGGTTGGACGAATCCTTATTGACACCGGCAGCTCATCAGACATCATCAGCCTCCGGTGCCTGCAAAAGCTGAAATACAACGTCAGTAGCATGCATCCGGTTACCCACCCCTTGGTTGGTTTTGGGGGTGGGATGGTCTACCCAGCCGGGAGAATTGACTTACCCATCCGGCTGGGAGAAAAAGGCCAGGGACGACATATTGTCGTCAGATTCTTGGTCGTTGAGGAGTTGACCGCCTACAACATCATTCTTGGCAGGACAACCCTCAACGTAGCCAAGGCAGTAATCATCCTGTCCCTCATGCTCATCAAGTATGAGAGGGATGACGGCTCTGTTGGTTCCATGAATGGGGATCAGAAGACGACCCGAGAGTGCTATCTCTCAGCCGTCCGAGATACTATGGCCCCAGGCGGCCAGGAACCAATAGACCTTGACAATGTCAAGGATGCCGACCCAGCTCCTGCCCCACCTGCAGCCGGAAAGAAAAGAAAGGCACCTCTGCTGGTGGAGGTGAAGAAAGAGAAAAAATAGCAATCACTGACCGGTGAACGGTCAGATGAGCTCCGTCCCCAACCGGTTGGCGAAAGCATTGATCTCGTTCTGGATGACAGCCGTCCAGAACGTACTTTTAAGGTTGGGACGGTTGCTCATGCTACCTTGGGTGCAAGATTGCACCTTTTGTTGAAGGAATTCAAAGACATTTTTGCCTTTGAAGTGGAAGAGATGCCAGGCGTCAGCCCGGATCTTGCTGTCCACAAACTCGCCGTGGATCCCAAAAAGAAGCCCATCCGGCAAAAGAAAAGAAACCTCGGCGAGGAAAGAAGTCAGGCGGCAGCTGCCGAAGTCAAAAAGCTGCTAGACGCCAGGTTCATTCGGCCTTGTAATTTCCCCGACTAGGTGGCCAATGTGGTCCTTGTTAAGAAACCGAATGGGACCTGACGCATGTGTGTTGATTACACAGACCTCAACAAGGCGTGTCCAAAGGACAGTTACCCGCTTCCAAAGATCGACAGTCTGGTCGATTCTACAACCGGTTACGCCGTGATGAGCTTTATGGATGCCTACTCCGGCTTCCATCAGATACCCCTGTGGAAGAAAGATCAAGAGAAGACGGCCTTCATCACTGATCAAGGGTTATTCTGTTATACTGTGATGCCGTTTGGCTTGAAAAATGCGCCTGCCACTTTCCAACGGATGATTAATACGGTCTTCATTAATCAGATTGGGAGGAATGTGGAGGCGTACATTGATGACATGATATTCAAATCCAAGCAGCAGACGGATCACCTTGCTGATCTCCGAGAAACATTCACCACCCTTAGGCGGCATAAGGTTATGTTAAATCCTAAGAAATGCGTCTTTGGTGTTGAGTCTGGGAAGTTTCTCGGATTCCTGATTGATCAAAGGGGGATAGAGGCTAACCCCGAAAAGATACAGGCGGTGATTAACATGAAGTCACCCCGTTCTGTCAAGGAAGTTCAGAGACTCACCGGTTGCCTGGCCGCCCTGGGGAGGTTCCTCAGCCGGTCAGGTGACAAATGCCTCTACTTCTTCCAAGCAATCAGGAAGAAGACCAGATTTGAATGGGGGGATGATGCTAAGGCGGCGTTCCAGAGGTTGAAAGAGCATTTACATTCTCTGCCTAGGTTGGTCAGTCCTTTGCCTAGGGAGACGTTGTACATGTATTTAGCCGTCTCAGACCATGCCCTTAGTGCCGTTCTCCTTGCTGAGCGAGACGGCGTGCAGCTCCCGGTTTACTTCATTAGCCATGTTCTTAAAAATGCTGAACTCCGGTACCCCATGGTTGAAAATTTTGGCCTTGCTTTGTATATGGCATTCAAAAAATTGAAGCCTTATTTTTTGGCACATCCGGTAGTGATCTACACGGACCAGCCACTCAAGCGGCCAATGTCTACCTTGGACTCATCCGGGAGAATGTTGAAATGGGCTATTGAAATGCAAAGCCTTGAAATCACTTACGAACCAAGAAAGGCAGTGAAAGGTCAGGCGTTCGCCGACTTCATTGTTGAAATGACTCGTCCGGTGGCTCC